CAGTCAGTGTTGTGTATTCTCACATCTGAAAATCATCTGGGGCTAGTTTGGAAGATGGGAGCTGAGCGTGGGCCAGTAACACTCCTTTCTTGGTGTATCTGCTTTGCCTTTCTTCCTCCCTGCTTCACTCATCCATTCTTGCTGCTGCTTTTTGCTCGGCTCCAGTTCTCGAGTCACTCATTCCAAAGGGATAGAAAGGCTGCAGGTGCTTCCCCTCACCCACCTCCACAAGCAGAGATGTTTGCCTGACAACCATAGGCCCTGCAGTGATCAACAGGCTGGAGCTCTTGGGTTTGGATTAGTTCTAGAATTGTTTTTTTCCTAAACAGATGATTCAAATGACATGTGGGAGGATCAGGAAGAGGATGAGGATGAAGATGAAGGCTTAGCAGGACAGTTCTTATCAGATATTCTTTCCACAAACAAGTATGGTAAGTAACAGCTTTAAAGTGCTTACTCAAAGCAAACAAGGAGTAGATGACATCCTAATCAGTTTTCTTTCCTTGAGAGCAGCTCAACAGAGGCTGCAGCCAAGGGGAAGGAAATGCCACAGCAGGGCTTTGAGTAGGGGCCTTGTCTGTAAGAGGGATGTGTCTTTGAATAACACAAGGATTAACTAACTGAGAGTTCCCATGCTGAGTGAGCTGCACGTTGCTGTGAGGTTCATGCAGGTATTTCTTCTAAGGAGAGCATTGATGCTCCAAGATGTAGATGTGACCTTGGAATGACAGTGTTATAGAAGTGGATGAACTTGCTGGGGAAGTAACCTTGAGAAATAATTGCTGCATAAAGATAAAGCAGGTGTATCATCTCCTTTCCTCTGCCCTCCAGTTTGTATATAGTCCTAAAGGGAGAACCTGACGGGCTAATACAATAAGGGAGACCTCTCATATTAGCACAGAATTGGAAATGTGTCACCCTGACATCAGATTAAGGCATAAGATAATAGTGCACGTAGCTAACAAACCTGCCTGTCCAGTGTCCTGTGTATGCTCATCTCACTTGTGTGTCTTTGAGACTCCACTGTGACCCATCTCTTTCTGGGATTTGGTGTTTCCTGATCATGTCGACTTAAGGAGTGAATGTTCTGGGTAGGATATTATTTATTTTACTCAGCAGCACTAGAACTATTTATATTTGGACCCATTGATTTCAACAGTAGTCTCAGGGAATACTTCCTAAGATGTATTGCTCTGTTTGATGTTAAAACCTGCTGATTTGCCTCTTGACAGATGAGGATTACTATGAAGACGATGAAGAGGATGATCCAGATGCGTTAAAGGACCCTCTTTACCAAATAGATCTCCAGGTGATGCTCTAGAATAAGGGGTTTATTAATCAGATTCCTGTCATTCCTTATAAACCTGATTTTTTTCTCTGTTATACTTCAACAAAACTGCACACCACTGGAAACAACGGCTAGTATCGATTGTTATCCCAAAGGTACTCAGTGCATTGAAATCACTGTGGAAAGTGCTGAGTATCCCAAGAATGCCTGGAGCTATTTTTTTCTTACTGGATCAATATGTATAACTTGGAAATGGGACTGAACAAAAGGTTTTGAACAGAGGGAGTTGAGACTCTTCTACCCATGAGCTTCACAGCTGTTTGCTGAAGTCAGAAATAGATTGGAGACTGAGTATGATAGAATTTCTTACTGTATTGGAGCTGTTCCCTTCCAGTCAGTCCCTGTCTGAATCTTTGCTCCTGCTTTTTATCTGGCAGCTGCTTTTAGCCTTTCCCTTTGCTGCTGCTCGTCCTTTTTGCACCACTGGCCTGTTCCCTGCAATCCCTTTGTCTCCGTTGGTGCATGTTGAGGTTTGTCCTGTAATGTGTGTAAGAAACAGAATTCCCAAAGTGACGTGATGCTAACTGGCTCTTTGCATCTTCCTTTCAGGCCTATCTCACTGATTTCCTCTGCCAGTTTGCACAGCAGCCTTGCTATGCAATGTTTTCAGACCATCTCAATGAGAATGAAAAGCGAGTGCTACAGGCCATTGGGATATAAACCCACCCAAGAGACCACACCGACCATAGCTGAACAAGGCTTATTCCACGTTTTATGATTGAACATAAAACACTTTCCAGTGTCTGCCTGCTTGTTGCAGGTGGATGGCGGCCTCGTTGCCATGTATTGAGCCTCATCTTAACGTGAATCTGGTAAGGGAAGGAATGCTAAGCAAGCAGCAAGGACAGAAGCCTGTAGAGCTTTGCACATTGGTCTCACCATGGGAGCACTTTCATTTTCCACAGTGACTTTCCAGGAAGTTCTTAAAGATACAAAAATGTGTCCTTAATACTTTTAAAAGCAAACTGTCTCTGCCTGTGAAGAGGCATGCAACTGAGCTCCCCCCAGCACAGCTGGACAGAGAAAGGAACTGAATCACTTAACAGGTTGCTTGGATGTATTTTGAGAAGGCAGGAGGTTGTTCCTCTTCATGCTCAGATGCCACAGGGTAAATATCTCGATCTCACAGTGTGACTTCTTTTTATAGACCTATAGACTCTTTAATCAGAGATGCCTGAATGGTGTGGAACCTGTTTGCAGGAGTTTGGATGGGAGGCTGAGACAATAAACCCAAATGCATATCTTCTTTCCTGTTGTGGATGGGGCTTTGTCACTCACATCTCTGTCCAGTCCCATGGGAGCAGCTCTTACTGATGCTTTCTGTGCACATGCTTACAGAAAGCTGCCACTGACATTTCTCTTCCTGTGGCATGTGGCTACTAAAGACTGTGGTTTTATGGAACACAAGGAGCCACGATTTTCAGGGGAATAAAACCTAATTGTATTTAACCTACTTGCTCCATGGTAGCCACTCTGAACTACTTTGCTTCCTTCACACTCCTGTGTGTGTTTATAGAGTGGTGAATACCATTTGCAGATTGATTTATCCCGTAAGAACAGCGTGATGTATCTCACAACACCTCTCTGCCTTGGATCCCCTTGGGGAAAATGAAAATAAAACTATTAAAATGCACATTGGTATCCTTCTTACGAGACAGATTTCAAAGGCATTTGCACTTCTTTGCTGAAGTTGCTTTCTGAGACACATTTCTCCTTAGGAAACTTTGTGCATGTGCAGCCCAGAGGATGTTGGGGAATGTCACAGGAGGCACCTGGACAGAAAGGGAGTCCTGTAATGGCTGCATCTTCTGCTTAAAAGAAAAGGCTGACCCATTATAGAGGTTCCTTTCTTAAGGAAGGTACTTGCTGTTCCTTTGTGGAATAATATGCTTTGCAGTTGTATCTACAAAGCTCCAAAGAGCTGGAGTCGTTCTGTACCTAACACGGTCTAGCTTTTCACTTTTTTACCAGGAAGGGATAATAAATTAACTTTTTAACAGACAAAGATGGCACAATTTGTTTAGTGTGTGTGGGGAAGGTGGAAAAACACCCTGGAATACCAAGGCAGAGCTTGCTCCCTGCTCCCACCCTGACCCAGCTCATTGCACCTGAGAAGGGGCAGACTGTGGGGGGGGTATCCCTCACCCTTCACTGCAGCCTAATCCATGGGTTTGTTTGAACAGCACCATGGGAACCAGGTTCTGAAGCCTGATTTGTGTGTGTGTGTGTGTCTGTGTGAGTGTCTCCTAAGGTATAAGCTCTGATTAATGCAGTCGTGTCACAATCTCTTTCTTCCCTATGGGTTCTCTGGTTTATGATACCATTAAGCTTGAACCATGGCCTCCTTTCAGGGGGAAGGAACGCTGGGCTTCTCCCTTCTGCCTAGACCTTGTTATATGTCTTTTGTAAAGTCCATTAGGAATTATGTGGGAGGCATTTGTGGCTCAGCTTTCACTGAAAACTACACAGTGGGGAAACCCAACTAGAAGGAGGTGGCGGATCTGGATAGCTCTGCAGGGAGGGACCAGTCCCATCTCTGGGAAGAGGCAGGACCATGGGTTTAGCCCCGTGTGTTTTCAGCAAGGCTGAAACCCAGTCATCCATTCCTGGAGGTAAGTGAATGCCAAGCACGTGGCAGCACCTGGGTGTCAGTTCAGGTCTGGGGAGCCAGTGCTGGAGGAGATGGGCTGATGGGGTCCATGTGCTTCTGTTGGGGGCAACTGCTGTGTGCCTTGGTGGTGCTTTGGTGGAGTCAGATGGTGGGTTTAAACATCACCATGAAAAACGAGACTGACCTCGTACTGCTGATTATGTTCCTCATCGTGAATGGAGAAATCCAAGGATTTCTTTGCCATTGCAAGGTCCAAAACAGTAGATGGGCCAGTGTCTTGGAGAGTTCCTGTGGGAGCTTGTCAGTGTGTTGGGTAGAAACGGCTTTGATTTGCTGGTATTGATGGTGTTTGCACGAGTGGAGCTGTGGTGAAAAGGGAAAGGTCAGGAGATAAGGTTGGAAGGGGCTTGGAGGAAGCTGCTCTAGTGGAAGGTCCCTGCCCATGGCAGGGGTTGGGAACTGGATTGAGCTTTAAGGTCCCTTCCAACCCAAACCTGTCTGGGATTCTGTGTCTTTTGGAGACTCGCACTTGTCCTCCTGCAGCAGCAGCTCACATGCAGCCTGTGCTCATTGGTGTAACTCCTTTGCCTTTCTGCTTCCTGACTCCTCCTTCCTAACAGAACTGTGTGCTCTGTGATGTGTCTTCGAAGAGTTGTGTTCGCTGAAGGGCTCTCAGTTTGCTGCAACAAACCTGTCCAGTGCCAAGGTCATTGCTCAGCCTGAAACACGCTGGACTCCATGGAGATAGGTCTATGGTGTGGTTTTGAGGTGCAGAGCACCTCTTGTGCACTATTGAGGAGTCTAATCAGGGATGTTACTAACGCCGTCTTAGGATGTACAAGCTCCCTGCTATGTATATTAAAGCTAAAGGCGGGACACGGGCACAGCTCTGGTCACACGTCACGGCCGGGATTCGAACTCACGACCTTACGGTCCGCAGTAGCGGCTGTGCGTGTCCCCTTCCTCCACGCCTCCCCGCCGGGCGGTGCATGCTGGGAGCTGTAGTCCACGCGGGGCCGCCGCGGTGCACGCCGGGAGCTGTAGTCCTCCGGTGTCCCCGCGGTGGCTGGGCCGCGCCATGGCGGCGGCCGGAGCCCCGGCGGGCGGCGCGGGGCGCTCCAAGGTGGCGCCGAGCGTGGACTTCGATCACAGCTGCTCCGACAGCGTCGAGTACCTCACCCTCAACTTCGGGCCCTTCGAGACCGTGCACCGGTGGCGCCGCCTCCCGCCCTGCGACGAGTTCGTGGGGGCCCGGTGAGCGGCGGGGCGGCCGGCGGGGGGCGGGTGTGGGGGGTCCCGGCGGCTCCTGACCCCTCTCTCTGCCGCCCGCAGGCGCAGCAAGCATACTGTGGTGGCCTACCGGGACGCCATCTACGTGTTCGGCGGCGACAACGGGTGAGGCCACGGTGGGGCTGAGGGGAGCGGGACTGAGGGGAGCGGGCCCAGGGCTGAGGGGAGCGGGCCTAGGGCTGAGGGGAGCGGGCCCAGGGCTGAGGGGAGCGGGGCTGAGGGGAGCGGGCCCAGGGCTGAGGGGAGCGGGACCGAGGAGTGCGGGGCTGCCGTTCCCCGGCTCAGCCGCTGTTCTTGTTCCTCCCGCAGGAAGACGATGCTGAACGACCTGCTGCGCTTCGACGTGAAGGACTGCTCGTGGTGCAGGTGCGCGGCGCCGGGCGCGGCCCTCCCCGGCCCCAGGGCTGGGGGTGGCCGCTTCGTTCGTCCTCAGCACCTGGGGGACTCTCCCATCGCATCCTGCCCGGTGCTGCGGGGCTGAGCTGTCTACAAGGCTCCCGTACGCAGCTCCTGCATGCGGGGGGCGGTGGGTGTCACTGCCTGCACACCCTGCGGGGCGCTGGAAGGGTGCAGGGGCAAAGGGACTGCGGTGCTGCAGCCCCTTAGGGCAGGAAATGTGCCGGTGGGGCTGGCTGATGCCTTCTCTTTGCTCTGGCCTGTGCGGGCTCTGTCATCTCACTCGTGCCTCCTTGTGCCTCACTTGCTGTCCCTGCCAAATAGATTTCAGCAGGGTTGTGTTTGTATCATGCTCACAGTGTCATAAAACCTGGGGCAGTTTAATTAAGAGACCAAAGCCATTGAAAATCCTCAGGAGCAACAGGATAACCTTGAGCGGTTGCTTCTTGTTTGATTCTGCACAAGAGCTGTGAGCCCCTGAAGCACGATGAGGGTGTTTGATTGCTGCTGTTCTCCTGTTGTGCAGGGCTTTCACCACGGGGACCCCGCCAGCGCCGCGGTATCACCACTCGGCTGTGGTCTATGGGAGCAGCATGTTTGTGTTTGGTAAGGCAGCGGCAGGTTGCAGTGGTGTCTGCTTGGGATGGTAAATGCACTGGTAGTGATGTTTAGAAGAAAGAAGGAGATACCATAGAATAGTTTGGGTTGGAAAGGACCTTAAGCTCATCCAGTTCCAACCCCCTGCCATGGGCAGGGACACCTCACACTAAACCATGGCACCCAAGGCTCTGTCCAACCTGGCCTTGAACACTGCCAGGGATGGAGCAGTCACAGCTTCCCTGGGCAACCCATTCCAGTGCCTCACCACCCTCACAGGAAAGAATTTCCTCCTTAGATCCAATCTAAACTTCCCCTGTCTAAGTTTTAACCCATTACCCCTTGTCCTATCACTACAGTCCCTAATGAAGAGTCCCTCCCCAGCATCCCTATAGGCCCCCTTCAGACACTGGAAGCTGCTCTGAGGTCTCCCCACAGCTTCTCTTCTCCAGGCTGAACAGCCCCAACTTTCTCAGCCTGTCTTCATACAGGAGGTGCTCCAGCCCCTGAGCATCTTCGTGGCCTCCTCTGGCCTTGTTCCAACAGTTCCATGTCCTGCACACAATGCTCCAGGTGAGGTCTCACAAGAGCAGAGAGGCAGGATCACCTCCTTGGACCTGCAGGTCCCGCTGCTTTTGATGCAGCCCAGGATACAGTTGCCTTTCTGGGCTGCGAGCACAAATTTTTAGGAATATTTTTATAACATATTTTTAGGAAGTATCAGATCTCTGTGTGAAATCCACTGTTTTCCATGTCTAACGCTGATTCCAACTTCAGCTTGGAAACACTCTTGTCTAAAGTAAAGACTTGAAACTCATTCCCACATTGTTCCTTTAGGGGTAGGAGTGGAGGAGGAGTCTCCCACTTGTAGCAGTCCGTTAGCTAAATACCTCTGTTTGTGTGAACTAAACTTAAGTTTTCTTCTAATATAACAACTAGAAGTGTGCGTGCTCGTTTGCATTTGAGCCCAATGGAATTGTTGTTGCCCAGGTGGCTACACTGGAGACATTTATTCCAATTCCAACCTGAAGAATAAAAACGATCTCTTTGAATACAAGTTTGCAACTGGGCAGTGGACTGAGTGGAAGACTGAAGGGAGGTAAGGAGCTGGCATCACTGCCACCCTCTTCACAGGGCCTTGTGCTTAACGGGGCAGACAATGGCACAGCTGGTGCCAGTGCTGGTGTTGAGGCTGTGGGATGATTTCTGCTCTACTTGCTTGATTCAAGTGTTCTGAAAAGGAGGGGTTTTTGCATGGTCTTCATTCCAGAGTGGACTATATTGGAAATGTGACCATAACCCATTCTTCATGTTTCAGTTCTGTGACAGAAAGGATAAGAGCAAAGGAAGTGTTTTCTTTTGAATTGTTTCTTTTCCAATGTTAGCATGGAATTTGTTGATCCCTCATTGTTTCAATTAAGTTGTATCAGAAACCACTTTAGAGCTTATTTGTAGTTAAATTTACATGTTCTTTTTAGACTAAACTTGGACTTCCCTGAGCTCCCTGAGATGCACACACTTGTGACGTGTGTGCACATGAGTGCTTTCAGAAGCAGACGAATGAGTTGATACCTGTTGAACATAGGCTCCTGAGATCCAGCCTTCTAAGGCAAAATCACACCTAGCAGCACGTTACTCCTCAGAGCTGAATTTGTGCACGTTTAGACCACATCAGTAAATTCTCTTTCTGGTTGTTCTAACGACTTCTGGCATTCTGGAGAGCAAGTCTCACTCCCGTATTCCAAACTCACATGTCCTTCTCCTTCCCCATGGTTACAAGTGTGGGTAGTGCACAAATGGCTTCATACAAGCTGATGGCCTTGGGCCATCGCAGTTTTGTTTAATGCTTCTTGGCTGATTTAGTAAAAGGCACAAAGATTGGGGAAGAAAAAATCTAAGTTTGCTCTTTCCTTGTGGGTTTTGCATCTCAGGAGCCCAATCAATCTCACCCCTTGAAGCCATTTTGTGTAAGGTACTTTATGCTTCATACCTGTGCATTTTAGCCCTCACCTAGATCCTTACAGCACCTCTGTGGGTGATCTAAGAGTGTTTCAATTGCTTTCCTCAACTGCAGGTTGCCGGTTGCCAGGTCAGCTCACGGTGCAACAGTGTACAGTGACAAGCTGTGGATCTTTGCAGGATACGATGGCAACGCACGGTACGTGCTGGGATCACTCTGGGGTGCTTCTGTAAAGACCTGGTCCCTCACATTGCACCTCTGTAGAGATGTTTTCATACCCCAAGCGATTTAAGCCCTTAACTGGAGTTCTGCAAAAGCTTTGCCTGTTGTTGAGCATCACATTTCTGCAGTTCACCAAATTCAGGTCCGTATGTGTTTAAAACCTAGACACCTGGTGACTCAGACTGTGGATGTGGAATGTGCCATCCCTGCCTTGGTTGTAAAGATGCTAAAAGATCTTTGTAATTTGGCAAATGAGCGTTTTTCTTTATTTCTAGAGGAGGAATTGGAGAAGGATGCATGACTGTGTGGAGCTGCTCAGTTCCAGCTTAGGGAGTTCCCTCAGGACCTCAAGTAGCTGGAAGGAGGGATTGGGTGAGAGGAGCTGTCTAATTTATGTTAAATGCATCTAATCACATTAAAAATTGGCTTTTTGTGGAAGAGGAGCCTCAGGCAGATTAGGACAAAAGGAATCATCTGTAGTTACTGTGAGTAACTTGTCCTGGGAAAAGCATAGTCAGGTATAAAAGGTAACAGTCAGTGATGTGTCAGGTTGCCTGCTCCATTCTCCTCTCTGCAGTGAAGGTGGGATTCAGCCACACAAATCACTGCTGTGGTCCATCCTAGGTGTTAGTAGGGATAGGTAGAAGGTAGCAGGGTAGTAACGGGTATTTCTGTAAATAACCCTGAATCCTGAAGAGTGAATAGGTCAAATTCTTAAGCTCCAGGCAGAATTGCTGTGTGTAACTATAGAACACTTGTAACCAGAAAGATGCTGAAGCAGGCTTGGGGTGGTGATATTAAATGTAGGTATAGGAGAAAAGGATTTTAATAGGTTTTTTTCCTGCCAGTGGAAGTAGGAGCTAAAAATTACTGTAAAAAAACAAAAATCTTTCTAAATCAAGCATTTTTGTATTGTAACATAGGTTAAATGATATGTGGACAATTGGCCTCCAGGATAGAGAGCTAACGTGCTGGGAAGAGGTAAGAAGCTTTAGTTGCAGTTAACACATGGGATTTCTCCTTTGGTTTTTATATGCAGTTATTTAAAAGCCCTGTGCTGGGCAGCACTGCTCTCTGCAGAATGTGTTTGTCACACAGGTGAGCAGAAAGCCTTCAACATGATTGTGTTTGTGCATTTGGAAAGCCAAGTGTACACGAGCTCTGCTCTTTGGTTGGGAATGTGAATGTGAACTGGCCATGCCCCCTGTAAAAAGGGACTGCATTTCCCACTGTAACCACTGGGAGCTTTGCTGGCTGTCAAGATGCCTGATCCTGACAGCACTGGGGCTCTAGAAATGTGGCCTCCCATCCTTTTTATCCATAGTAAAGTTAGTCTGTGCAGACTAACCTCACCATTAGTTGATCACCTGGACTCAGTTGCCTGCACACATTGCTGCCACAGGGTCTGGTGAGCTGCATGGTGCTGCAGCATCCTCAGCATGTGCAGTGGTGCACCACAGCAATACCTTCTTCATTGTGAACTTCATTATCTTTCAGATTGAACAAAGTGGTGAAATTCCTCCTTCGTGCTGTAACTTTCCTGTGGCTGTTTGCAAAGACAAGATGTTTGTTTTCTCGGGACAGAGCGGAGCAAAGATTACCAATAATCTCTTTCAGTTTGAGTTCAAGGAAAAGATGTAAGTGGAGACAGTTAAATCGCACAAAATCCATGTAATCTTTTACTACTTGAGTTGAGAAATGCACAGACTTAAGGGTATGGAGAAAGAATACTGCATCTCATGGTGAGGAAGTGGAGGTAAGGTATGGACCATGTTAATGAGACTTTGGTTTGTGCCATGTGCATCAGATCAGTCATTTTCAGCAGATGAACAGAAATTCAGTAGATTCACCTTAAACAGTAGATGTGAGTCTTGGTGTATTCAGAATGGCATGCCAAATATTGCCTTCCTGAAAGTTGTTCTATGGTCTGTTCTGACAGCCTGGTTGGTCTGGTTACTGGCTGAAGTGGAACCACAACTGAAACAATAGCAGTGGCCTCCAGACCTTGGCTGAAATCGTGCTACTGTTGTGAATAAGCAATGTCCTGTCAAAATGGGTTATGGTACTGGAATGGTGCCCTTTACTTAGAAGGGTTAGCTGTTAAAGTGGATCATAGATCATGGATTCCTTGCCAAGTTGTGGTCTTTTAGCTTCTGGGATTACATCTGGGTGAGGGAACCACGTTGGCTTTATCTCATTTTCAGTTAGAAGTTTAGCAACATGGAGCTGACGGAGATCAGGATGAGTTGTTGCCCATTCCCATGCAGGATCTGGAAGTACCATAATGGAGCTCCTTTATCCTTAACAGCTGGACCCGGATTCCCACCGAGCACTTGCTTCGAGGCTCCCCTCCTCCTCCACAACGACGATACGGCCACACAATGGTTGCGTTCGACCGGCATCTCTATGTGTTTGGTGGTGCTGCAGATAACACACTGCCCAACGAGCTTCACTGCTACGATGTGGACTCCCAGACCTGGGAAGTTATCCAGCCCAGCCCAGACAGTGAGGTAAAACCTTCAGCTCTTGGTGTTTCCTCTTATGCTTGGCCCATTTTTTGCTCTCGGGCCAAGGACGTGTTCTTGACAAGGACATTGACTTTTAGCTCCTTCCCACCAGTGGCTGAGCAGCTGAAATACTGTGGGCAGCAGTCTTTAGAAATGAGTCAGTGTTGACACGTTGAAAACTTTCCTTAGTACTGTTTAAAGAAATCCCATCAAACACTTGTAATTGTTGAGTCAATCATTATTTGACTGAGCTTAGTAATGAATTCACTGCGTGGACCAGTGGTTCTGTGGTTGGCTGTGTGATGCTGCTGAAGCAGAATTCCAAACGAGATGAGGTTTTGATTGTTCCACTGGAATAATGCCTCTGTGTGTAATGTCTTAGAAATTCTGTAATTGCACAGAGTAGCATTTCTCTTTTAGGTCAAGTGTGAAGTGTTTGCTTATGAAGGTATGACTGTAAAATAATGATAGGCATCATAGGGAGACTCAGACATGGCTTTTTTGACCATAGTTACATTAGTAAGATATAAATTAAAACACCTGGGTTCTTTACGTGAGCATAAAGAGGCAGTAACCACCAAGGGCGATGTGAGCACCCCAAATGAGAAGAAACCTGTACTAATACCTGTATCTGCTGGATTTAGAATGATTATGTTGGCTGCATTTATTAATTTTAATAGATTTTACCTTAACCCATGTAGAAATACTTCAGCTGATGTAACAGTGGGTTTAGTGGGTGTGATCTGTGGGAAGAAATAGTAGATGTCTGTGCGCTGCATGGAGAACCACAGAGATGAAGGTTACACCTGGAAGAGATGAGTATTGCATGAAGTAGGCTGCAGTCAGGTCTCAGGCACTGTGGGTGTGCTGAGACAGTCCAGCATTGGCTGCATTTTGAGTAAAGAGGTAGAACAGCACCTAGAAACAAGTCTGGCAATGGGCCTGTTCTAGGTCCTCTTCTTCTCTGCCCAGGTCCCTCAGAATTGTTGATGGTACCTCGCATGGAGGATGGGAAAATGGCTTAGTAAGTAGAAAAGGGAGAACTGAAGTGAAACAGGGCAGTGCTCCACAAATAAACAAGGAACTTCTATTTTGTGCTTTTAGGATGTCTCCAAACTGAGTATCAAGCATGCTTTCTGATCTGCACAGTTGCAATCCATAGCTCCTCATACCTTCACCGAGGTGCTATAATATATGTACATATTGTATCTTACAGAGCTGTTCTCCATCTTTACTGTTAGACGATCTTCACAGTTGGGGCTTGTTCTGCTTTTCTAAGGCAGGGAGAGGAGCATCACATCTGAGTCTGTGCCTGCCTGTACAACAGTGCCAAAGCTTCCTGAGGTGCTGGATTTCCTTTATACAGGGCTAGCAGAGGATTTAAAGATAATTTAAATACTTTTTTTTCATTGCCTTCAAGTTTTCCTGTTGAACTCCTTGGCTTTCTGAAGAAGGTTGGAACAGCATCAAATACCAGCAGGCAGAAAGAGGGAAAATGCCCCATCTTGCCCAGTTGCTCCCTAGCAGACGGACAGAGGCATGCACGTAGCACCCATGGTTTGTGCTACAGTAGAGGAGTGTTCTGCAGGGAATGACAGAGGAGCTGGAGGCCTGGGAGGGGATTGCACATCCATTTGTGGACACAGCCCCACAGAATCAGAAGAGATGTTTAGAAACAGCCGCTGCCTTACAGAAGGTGCCACAGGAGGAGGAAGAGAATTCTTCCTTGCAGGGCTTTAAGAAGGTCAGTGGCTAGGACAGTTACACTGTCCATGAATCCAGGTGGATTCCCACCATCTCCCAGTGCAGGTTCTAGTGAGCAGCCTTTCAAAGAGCAGTATGAATTTCTGACTTTCAGAGCTCTTTAGTTGTCTTTTAATATGCAAAAAGGGAGGTGAATGCCTTCGTAACCTTCTCTGGCTTACTGTGAGCTACAGTTCTGGAGTTTTTCACATGGATTACAGTGACGTGGTTTGTGGGCAGCTAAGAAAGATTAAAAGGACTTACTCATCCCACTGTGGATGAGTCTGCCACAGTCTCCCTGTGCAGAGATCAGTTACACCCGTTGAGGTATCCTCAGGCAAAAGAAGCATGTTATTATGTGAACAAACCCCTGAATTCCTGCAGTGAGGCCCCTAACAAGATCTGCTGTCAAATGTGGTGAGTGTAGCTGTCAGGGTCTCATGTTCTGCCAGGATTTCACAGTCCAAAGAGAAGACTGATGTTTCTAAGCAGTTGGTAGTGCTGAGACTTGCATCCTTTTCAGAAAGTCTTTTGCACAACCTTCAGGCTTTCCGTACCAGTGATGAGTTCAGGTTGTGCTGAGAGGCACAGATTGGAAATGGTGGAGTTGGTGAAAACTGGTTATCAGAATCAAGGTTGTCGCACAGAGTGATTTCTGTTTGTCAACTCTCCATCTCCTTCCTGAGGGATGTTTATTACGTGCTTCTACAGAGTTCTCCCACAGAGAAAGCAGAATGCTCTTATGTGGGTGATAGCAGAAGGGATACGCTTATGTAGCTCACTCACCAGTAAGCAAACAGAAGAAAACAGCATTAGGATGACTCACGTTAAATGGGTATAAAGTTGGATAACTGGAAGATAGGAAATGTGTGTTTGAACGAGGAGTTACTCTGCTTAAGTAGTTTAGAGACTGGTTCTTGTCATTGCACCACTAGAAACTTTTGTCAATGACCTTGAAAGAAAAGAGCAAGTCTCAGCTTTCCCCTGCTGCCTGCTCATTGCCCAGAGTTTTGCCAATTCATGATTAAAATAACAGTCCACTCGGAGTGGTGGTTCTTAAGTTGGGTAGAAACAATACGTATTTCATGGGTATGTAAAGCAGAATAGCTGAGAACAGGGTGTGTGGTCTGTGCTTAATAGTTTCCCTTCACAGTACCCCTGGAAACAATGACTTAAAACCTTTAGTCATTGTGGATAGCTGAGACAAGGTCCCTGTAATGTAAAATGGCTTGAAGTGCTGCTGATATTCTTGGCTCCAGAAGCCAACAGGGTGTAGTATCATTTAGTAACATAACTGTTACCCCCATGTTTATTGGGTAGATCTTCCTGACCCGTGTCTCACCGTGTTGTGTTCACAAATCAAGGTTATTCAGAGAAGAAATCTGTGAATGACTGAAGGTTGGGAAACCCAGTGGCCAGCAGTGAAAAGGGGTCTCTGAGGAACAGAGAGTGTTTCATCTACTGGTAAAGGATAAAGCAAGATCCAGCAGCTTCAAGTTGAAACTAGAAATACTCCAGACTGAAAAAGAAATGAAAGTTCACAGATTGTGAGGAGCGGGGATTCCTTGGGATGTTTTCTCAGAGCCTTTGGGTAGATTTTTCACTATGTCTAAACCAGATTCGATATTACCTAGAAAGAAAGTTTTCCTACAAGAAAGGCTCCATTTCAGTATTATTCCAGGATCTCTTGTAGGCTGGTTTATGCAGGAAGTCAAATTAAGGTCCCAGAAGTACTATTATGGGAATTTGATTTTGGAAGGCACACCATGGTGCCACAAAGAAGCAAATGCTGGTCACTTGGGTTTTGTCCTCTGTTGCTGGTTTTCAGTGTATGTTCCTCTGAGACACATCCATTGGATTTGGCAACACTTGCTCTTTGCCTAATTTTCTCTAATAAATTGTATCTGAACACTACTATTTCAATCTCCAACTGATAGATTGAAAGTATGTTAAAGGAAAGAGTGTTTACTGTTATTACAGCTGTAAATAAGTTACAGGTTGGCTCCTATTCTGACCTCTGCAGTTACAACAGCACATGTTTGAATGTCATTGTTAAAGAATCAACTTCCCTGTTCCCAGGCTGTGTTCTCCAGTGAGTATTAAATGGAAAAACCTCATCCTCAGTGTAGAGCAGGGTATCAAAGGATGCCCACTGTCCCATCCCTTAGTACTTACCATAACCAGAACTGCAAAATCCCCAGAAAAGCTGATATTACAACAAGCTTTTGTTATTATGACTTTGCTCTTGTATCTCGTGATTTATCCTATTTTGTAGGTTTCTGCATCATGGTCTTCAACTTTCTATCCTCTGCCATGATCCATGGCAATCCCTGTTCTGTGTTCACTGCTTCACATGAGGAGGTGCTTACTGAGGTGATCCTTTGCTTTACACTGTTGACTTGCTAACAGTAGTGCAGAGTTGATTCCATGAGAGGTTCAAAGAATCTCTACCACTGGAAGTCTTTAGGAACAGCCTCAATGAGCCTCTCTCAGGAGTGAAATAGGTATTGTTGGCCCTGGCTGGGGCAGAGGAATGGAAATAGCCTTAGGCCAGGTCCTTTCCAGGTGTCTGTGGTAGATTTTTAATTCCCTTTCTTCTTGTATGGAAAATAAGAGGGGAAAAGGAAAGGCTGAATTTCCACGTTAGACATAAATTTCCATCGTAACAAGAGCTGATCTGGGCCTCCACACCTGGAGTATGTTAACGAACAGGAGGAAGTCTTAGGATCACAAAAACAGGAGGTTGGAATAGACTTCAGAGGTTTTGAGTCTATCCTCATGCTCAGAGCAGGGGCAAGACTTGGCAGAACGACATGAGGTGCCCATCAGCCCATGTTTCCAGCCTATCTAAGTCCTTCCGAACAGCAGCCTCCAGCATGTCAGCTCCTCCAGCCAGTCAGCTCTGATTGTCTGAAAAGCAGATAGATTTTCTGCACCCAGCGTGTGAAAACATTTTAAATCCTTAAACCTCCTTGAACTTAAAGACTATCCAAAGCTCTGTCTGCCCATCTGTTAAGAGAGTTTCGTGCTGTTGCCTGGTATGATAGCGTGGAAGCATCCTTGAGTATAAACAGCAACCAGAAGTGACGTATCATTTGAACCTGCTGTAGCTTATGGTTTTCTTCCAGTTCCAGAGGAAAAAGTTTCTTTTTTCATAGAATCCCAGCCTGGTTTGTGCTGAAGGGACCTTAAAACTCCTCCAGCTCCAACCCCTTGCCACGGGCAGGGACCCCTTCCACTGGAGCAGCTTGCTCCAAGCCCCCGTGTCCAACGTGGCCTTGAGCACTGCCAGGGATGGGGCAGCCACAGCTTCTCTGGGCACCCTGTGCCAGTGTTTTTACCTTTTAGTTTATGTTGGTTCACCACATTGGTTTGTTGGTGGCTTTAGGTATTTTTATGTCATTTTGCCTTAGAGCTTTTAGTGGTGTTGGAAGCCAGGGAGGCTCGTTGATGTTCCTAGATGTGAAAGAGATCTGAGCACATCTTTATTGCCATTGATGTGCAACAACCAGCTTCCTTACTACCTCCTCATTCATACCTGAGTGTGAGGAGAGTTAAAAGTTGACACAATTATCTATTTATTCTGTAAATATAAGAAGGGTTCTGAGAAGCAGAGAGAATGAGAAGGAAGAGCCTTGGAACAACTGCCATGGATTTGCTTTTACCTGTTTCCTAGTATTGCACATAGTGCTGAATTTTCAGTCTGAAGAAGCACTGAAAACGAGTTGGAAATGCTTTGAGGGCTGAGTAGGAGATAGAAGACACCCACTGAAACAGCAGGAGTTGGAAACAACACACGGTGTCTTGTACACAGTGCCCGCCATAGAAAAGGTTTTACCTCATCACCTTCCTCATGCATTGTCAGCCTTGACACAGAGAGCAGGTTGTCACGTTGAGACCATCAATCAGGCCACGAGGTGGGAAGCTGGTCTCAGGCTGTGGGAATAGCTGAGCATCCTGCCTCCTGGTCATCTCTGTTCAGCACCTGCGTTCTTCCCACCTGCCAGAAACAAGCCCCTCAGCTTCTCATGAAGAACTAAGGGCGGAAGAGGGCAGAAAAGAAGCAATTAGTGCACAAGTTTTAATTGCTGTATACCTCAGTCATTGCACAAACTAAGAAAACTACATAATTGTGTTGGATTGCTCAATCACAGTGGTATTTGATTTAGATTTCAGCATAACAGCAGTTAAACATCCACCTACAGCAGACTCCGAGGTAAATAAAGAAACACTTGGAAGTGAAGGCTTCAAAAAATGCAAATTCAATTTATTCCAGGAGAGAGAGGTGAATTCCAGCCTTGCAAATGCTTTTCCTCCTCCACTCTTTTCTTCTCTCCTTGAAATGGATCTGGAGCTGTTTCAGCTTGAACTGCAATCTAAGAATCATTTAAGCCTCGACTCTACACATGCGAGTTCCAAATTGCACATAGAAAACCAGTATTGACCCCCGAGTGGAAACTGTTCTGTTGCTTTCATTTTACTTTTATGTTGATTCAACTTCATTTATTAAGGACTCCAAGGGAAGCTGAATGTGTTCCTGGGAAGGTCAGAATTTAAATCAGGGAAAGGGTTTACACAGGTTGAACTAAGTTTATTTTAAGGTATGAGGAATCAGCCCCAGAGGTCGTGCTCAGGGCTGTAATCTCAACTATTTGAATGATTGCTGGTGCTCTGACACAGAAGCAGCAACACTTAATGCACAGCTTTGTAAGTCAAACCAGAACCCTGATGAGCATCACAGGACAAACTCGGTCTGTGCTGTCTAGACAGGATACAGAGTGAGTCTGAACACCAGAAATGCAAAATGATACAAAAACCTCTTCTGAAATACTTTGATTTTGAAGGTGATGGCTTGAAGCAAGGCAGCAGTGTGGGAGGGTGAACTGAAAGGGAAGCAGAGGGGACTGATGAGATCTGCTTTGGAAAGCAAAGACTCCAGCTTGAAAAGAACCTTGAATAATGACAAACCAGGTGGCTGCGTTTGGTTTCCAGTAGAATAGTTCTTTTTTGGCTTGTTTTTGGCTGGAGAGTTAATTGTGAAAAGGATTTGTGTAATACAGCTGATATCAGCCCTTCTGGTTGTGTGGCAATACATCCCTGGGTGGGATGGAGCTTGGAGCAACCTGGCCTAATGGAAGGTGTCCCTGCCCATGGCAGGGGCTGGAACTGGATGAGCTTTAAGGTCCCTTCCCACCTAAGCCATTTTTATGATTCTATGATCTCATTCTCTTTTGGAGAGCTATGGAACAGGAATGTAATAGATCAATATGAATCCATAACCTTCCTATTACAGTATTTATTAGCACCAACTTTAAAGTTTCTTGCTAAAGTATCCATGAAGTTTTGCTGGAGACAGAAGGTTTCTTGTTTATCCAGGGGAATCTGGATGGCTTGTTCAACAGCCCTTTGAGGGGACCCAATTGGTGGTTTGTACCTCTGAGGGAGAAAAGCAAGCAGGGGGGTTGGTTGTGTCCTGAAAAGCTGTAGTCTGAAGAAAAGAGAAACTCATGGAAAATCTGGTGAGTAACAAGCTAAATGAGGCCGTTGTGTGATGCTGTGGTGAACGGGGTAAGTCGGTGGTAATGAGAAATGCCAGTCAGCATGGCTTCCTGGAAAATGTGGCTCTGCAGATAAACATAATCTTGTTTCGTGTCTGAGCTTACTCGAGTGGTGTCTATAAATATGTACAAGAAGAGAAGATTTCTCATACCAGAGGGCTTTTGATTTCGTAGGCAGAGATTTAATGAGATTTTGCTGCCTGGAAGACAAAACAAGCTTGAGCAAACTGGGCAGGGGGGGAAGGTAGTTCCTATCACCACTCGAGGACTTGATGTAAGATGTCTCAGTGGGATGTGCTAATGTGATCAGCTACCTTTGTGTAACCTCAGAAGAAACAGGTAAAAACAATGAGGTCTGTCCCATGCAGGAGGGTCACGGCAGCTTCAACTCGCTGTGACTCCTCCCTGCTTCAAAAATCACCCTGTTTTACAGTTCCAAGGTGAAACGTGTGTTGCATGGAATGGTGTGATCCCTCGGCCCTATAAATAGCTGGGGCTTCCTGCAGTGTGGGGTGGCTTTATGCTCTGTGGACCTGGCGTGATGGAGACAGGATTGACTCTGTGGTGCCAGCTCTGGAACCGTCTCCAACGCTGGGCTCTGTGCATGACTTGGCACTGCTGGAGGGGCTCGTTGGCCAGATGGGTGAGCCACAGCGAGCTGCAGGCATGGCGAGTGCTTACAGGCCTCCAATTGAGCATCCTGCTGAGTTAGATGATCATTCACTGTTCAAGCTCTCGACAGGATTTGCAATAAGCTCTGGGTTTGCACAGTGGTTTGCAGAGTCCTTTTATTTCTAGAATTGGGGTGTATTTTTCTGTGTAAAACTTAGTGTTGATCTGAATTTGATGTATTTTGTAACTACAGTTATATCGAGAGTCCTGTGTATGTACCATTCTGATTACAAGGTGCCATGAATAGGTGTTTTTAAATGTGAGTGCAAGTATGTTCCAGGTACACTAGGAAACAATCCTAAAAGATACTGTATGTCGATCTTAGGATGCAAGCGTTTGTGTCACTGTGGTCCACGTTGATTTTCCCTTCTCACTATTGATCTGTTGCAAGTTCTTGGAGAAAAAAAAAGGCTTTTATTTATTCCCTCCCCTATTTTGTCCTTTTCTTTCCCCAGTTACCCAGTGGGAGACTCTTCCACGCAGCAGCTGTTATCTCGGATGCTATGTACATCTTTGGTGGCACGGTGGACAATAACATCAGGAGTGGAGAGATGTACAGGTTCCAGGTAATCACTGCTCAACCTGCTCAACCATCCACACCAGTTCTGTGGGACTCCTCTGTCTCCAGACAGGGCAGTTTCTGGTTTGGCTCCTGCAGGCAGCCTTCACAGTTCAGATGAGATCCGATTCTTCCATCCTCCCCTGTGTTATCTTTCATTACCCTCCCCGTAGAGCAAGCCCTTGCAGGTGTTTGGGTTGCTTGTTGTTTTCTACTTTATATACTACCTTGAGGTTGAGTTAATGAGGAAATCCACTGCTCATACGTGTAACAGTGCTTTTGGGCAGGGCCATGTGAAATGAATTCTGTCTTCTGGGGGGCTTTATTTTTCCCAGTTTTCCTGTTACCCTAAATGCACTCTCCATGAAGACTACGGAAGGCTGTGGGAAAACAGACAGTTCAGCGACTTGGAGTTTGTTTTGGGAGAGGTAAGTAGATTTTACTGCAGAGGTGCCAGTGGGGGTTTCTGGTGTGTGTACTGTGTGCTGGGGAAAGGCAGATTGTACAGAGGGGAGGCCAGAATGCCTGGGAGTGAAGTTTGAAGAACACTGGCACTGGTGAAGTTGCTGTCTCTCTGCTTTAGTAAATTACACTCATCCAGATAACTTTCTAAAGCTGCAAATGAGAAGCTTTTAAACTGAGAAGATCTGTGGATCGCTGGGATGTAACCCCAGTATGTCACAGCACAGTATCATAGGATCATAGAATAGTTTGGGTTGGAAAGGACCTTTACTTCATTCAGTTCCAACCCCTCTGCCATGGGCAGGGACACCTCACACTAAACCATGGCACCCAAGGCTCTGTCCAACCTGGCCTTGAACACTGCCAGGGATGAAGCATTCACAACTTCCCTGGGCACCCATTCCAGTGCCTCACCACCCTAACAGGAAAGAATTTCCTCCTTAGATCCAATCTAAACTTCCCCTGTTTCAGTTTGAACCCATTACCCCTTGTCCTGTCACTACAATCCCTAATGAAGAGTCCCTCCCCAGCATCCCTATAGGCCCCCTTCAGACACTGGAAGCTGCTCTGAGGTCTCCCCACAGCTTCTCTTCTCCAGGCTGAACAGCCCCAACTTTCTCAACCTGGCTCCACACAGGAGCTGCTCCAGTCCCTGAGCATCCTTGTGGCCTCCTCTGGACTTGCTCCAACAGTTCCTTGTCCTTTTTATGTTGAGGACACCAGAACTGCACACAATTCTCCAAGTGAGGTCTCACAAGAGCAGAGCAGAGGGGCAGGAGCACCTCCTTCGACCTGCTGGTCACGCTCCTCTTGATGCAGCCGAGGATACAGTTGGCTTTCTGGGCTGCGAGCACACACTGAAGCCAGCTCATGTTAAGTTTCTCATCGACCAAGTTTATATATAGCATATAGAGTTGTAATGTGAAAATGGTACTAATGATCTCTGTACTCAGTTGAGGTCCCAGCTGTTCCCTGGAAGGAGCAGTCACTGCTTTGCAGATCATTTCAAGAGCAATTTTAATGACTGAAGTAAAATAGAAAATGAAACCAAACCTCAGATGCAACAATAAGAAGCAATATCTGTGACACTGAGCCTACGTATCAGCTTCCACTTAGTGAACATAACAAAGACTCTTTCCAAATGGACTTTGCCATTAGGCTTTAGGGAAAGCGAGTGTTGGATTTCATCTATATGTGCAGAGCAAATGCAAGGCTGCCTTAGATTCTAACTTCAACTAGATGTATGGTAACCTGGAGCTCAGCCCAGGCTTCCACTACTTCCACCATCTGCCACCACCAGTGTGGGATTTGGGTCTAGAAGTTGAATGTGTTTTCTTCCTTTGCCTGTGACAGAAGGAGGAACGAGTCCGAGGCCACACTGCGATTGTCACAGCTCGCTGCAAGTGGCTGAAGAAGAAGATCATGCAGGCAAGGGAGAGGCTGAAACAGGTGAGTCTTAGAGAGAAGTGGGCTCATGGCAGGGGATGCTTATTCTGCCCCATTTTGGAAATCAGGTTGTCAGGAAACACAGGTAGTATCTGCTGAGACAGCTGTGGCACCAGAGCAGAGCCTGATGCTGAGGTGCTCTGGAGCAAGGGGAGGAAAGAGGATAACTGGCGTTAACAGGCTGCTGGATGTGTATCAGGCTGGGTGAAGAGCATAACATGGAGGAGCCACAGTTAATCCTGTTATCTGGATTTGGCACTGTGGTTCTTGGGAGCTCTCGTAGCTGTCAGCTTCTAATCTTGTGGAGTATCCCTGGGGATAGCCCTGCCTCTGGGGAGGGGTGCTGCACATCCTCCGGGGTGGCCTGCGAGATCAGACAGCTCAGTGGGAAGGCAGCTTCAAGGTTTGGAGCTGGCTCTGTTCCCTTTACCTTCGCATTTCCTGACTTCTTCCAGAGTGGAAGGGCTGGTGTCTGTGTTCCTGACAGCTTTTTAACAGCAAATATCTGACTGCTCTTGAGCAACTGGTAGCACATAACCTGCAGTAAGATGTACAGGTGCCTCATTGCCCCTCAGTTAATTGCTTTGCCACCCCAAGCCCTCCATCTTCACTGGATAAGCCTGGAGGGAAAGGTTGTCAAAGTGAAACTTGGAAGTAATGAAGTGGCTTAAAATACGTCTGTGTAGCACTTTGAGCTCTGACTTTGCAAAGCAGGGGTCTGTGGAACCTGCTCCATCTTCCTGCTCCAAGGAGAAATGCTGTTCCTGCTGAGGGCAGAAAGATGAATTCATTCCTCCCTTTTTCTGAGGTCCTGCTTTTGAGCCTTATGCAGGAGCTCACATTCATTCTGATCCATGTTTGTCGCTGAGTATGGAATGGTAAGTCTTAGGCATGAATTCCTTGTCTTTGTGTGGATAATCTTGAAGATAATGAGATCTTGGATCTTGAAGAATGCAGTCATGAGAAGGATCTTTCCTGTGGTTTGACAGTAACGTCTGAGCTGACACAGCCTTGTTGCCGTGTTTGTTTATTCCATCTCATTAGAAATCAAAGCAAGATATTGAAGACGAGGGACATGCGACTTGTCAGAGGGATGGGACTGGTGGGAATGTCAAGTTGTGCCGCCTGCAGCCGCTGCTGGAAGTGCCCATCCGAGAGGCTGAGGCTCAGCCCTTCGAGGTGCTCATGCAGTTCCTGTATACAGATAAAATCAAGTACCCTCGCAAAGGTAGGACAGAGGGTTGGAACCTGCCACAGGTGGGCAGGAGACAGTTATTTTGACCCAGAGTAGAATCAAGCATTTGCACATGATCAATAAACCACAAAGGCATTGGGGTGTTCTGCACATGCAGAACACTGTCTGCAAGGACCATGGATCCTTCGTTGGCTTATTCCTTTTTTCTGGCATTGTTTTGATCTGCTGCAAACTGAGCCCACACAGCAAAGCAAAGCAAGCGAGGATTTATCATCTTTTCAAAGTGCCAATGCGAAAGAATGCCTCAAGAAAGGAAAAATTGATTTGATGCATTCACTGGAGATCCCCTGGTTACAAACACTTGCAGGCTGGGAGGTAATAGGCAGAGATCTCTCAGCTCCCACGCAGCAAATCTAATGGCCATGCTTGAGTGATGAGGTGTGTCGGGCTGTGGGAGTCAGAGTGGATACCCAGGGGGAACTGCAGCTGGAAGGGCTGGGGAAGCTGTAGCCACGTAGCACAATACGGTAAAGCAAGGTACATCTATCCTATCACAGAAAGGTTTGCTTGAGCTTCAGTCCATAATCTTTCCTTTCTGTAAAAGGTAATTCCCAGGGAAAGAATGATTTGTATGCAGTTGCTCCAAGGCTTTCCATGCGAGCCGGCCTGTCTTGAGAGCAAGCCTCATTAATGGGGATGAGAGAAGCTTCTCATTGGTGTCTGCTGACATCGCCAGATCCCACTCTCAGCCAGTTCACTGATCCCTTAGGATCAGACCAAGGACATACTGAGCTCTTCCCTTTGTTACAGGCTTCTCAGGCAGCCTGCTGCCCTTCCCCCAGCCCATCAAACACCCCTCTGCTTGGATCCTCCAATGGCCCTGTCCTGACCATTTGTATTCCTAGTTGCTCAGCTCAGTTCAGAGAGCAGCACCTTGGGGATCCGTCCAGAGGCTGAGCTAATAGAATTGGGCATGCTTATCAAATGGGATTTTCCAATTAGACACAGGGAAGGCACGTGACAGGCAAGAAGGCTTTTCTCTCTCAAAAAGTAGTTACAGCAGATGGCCACAGATCTCCTGTGAGGAAATCAAAGGCTATGGAGGATTATTCCTTGAGTTGGTGTCCCAGTAGTCCCATTGCAGTAGCCTGCAAGGATTCCCACTGCCCCTCTCTTACTTCAGCCCTTTCTTCTAGACCAGCCTCAGGTCTGGGCGTGCACAAAGCACCTTCATAAGGGCCTGTCAGAATGAGGGAACTGACTGCTAATACTGCATCCGAACCAAGGGCTGCAGTAGGGCTGTTAGCAGCTGAGCACTTTGGAACATGGGGCTGCTGGCTTGGGAGCTTGTCAGTGGTTTTAGAGACTTCCCTTTCTTTTGGGGGTTTTAAAAATCATAATCCAGATTGTCAAGATAAATTGAGTTCTGCAGCATTTTTACCTCTTGTCATTTCAGGGCATGTGCAGGATGTGTTACTTATTATGGATGTATACAAACTAGCTTTAAACTTCAAGCTCTCTCGACTGGAACAGCTCTGCCTTCAGTACATTGAAGCATCCGTGGATCTGCAGAACGTGCTCATTGTGTGTGAAAATGCCAACAAGCTCCAGCTGGATCAGCTAAAGGTGATCCCAGTTTGCATACAGAGGAACTGATAAGAAAGTTTAACACATAGAATTTATGTAATAAACGTTTTGCAAAAGCTGTTAGCTTTTGCAAATTCAGTTCTTTCCTATAATTGTAGCTGCTTGAGTGTATGTTAGGGTGGGCTGGCCTGCCATTGCTCTCCAATATTATGTAGGTTTTTTCACTGATACTTTTGCATATCTGCCCCGCAGGGATTTCAGGATGTATTTCAGGATGTAGAGGGCAGAGTGACTTTGGCTCTTCATCAATTCACTCTCACTGCAGCAGGATGGAACCAGTGCATTTTCTGTTCCCACTGTTCTATACAGACACTGCAAACAGGCTCTTTCACCTGGGTGTGATCTAAATTCTGTTTTCATGGCTTTGATCTGAAAAACACTGTACTGAAAACCAAAATGTGTCTGCATTCTGTGTTCAGTGGGTCAAGGGCTTTGCTGAAAGTCAGGGTAGGGTAGATACCTCCAGGCCGATTTGCTGTGACAGCAGGTTTGTCATACAGGAGCCTACAAGACTCTTCCAGACTGTTGCAGCCTTTACAGAGAGAGTTAAGGCAAAATCCACACAAGGAAATCCTGCACCTTGTTTGTATTCTTAATGGAGAGTGTTGAGACCTCGTCAATCTTCTAATTAACTTCTGGTTTCTAATTGTATAAAGAATTATTATGAGATAGCAACTAATCTTAGTTAGCTCCATGAGGTTTCCAGCATCTCCTGAGATTCCTGTTTCGGAGCAGCTAGATGGGAGGCAATGAATCTTTTCCATGTTATTATTTCTTAGTCAGGTTTTTCTAGATGCTTAAAGTTGTCCTGAATTTCCTGTTCAAGTAGGAGCTGAAATGGTCCCTCAGTGAGGAGGTCACTGCTTGATAGCTCCAGCTGCAGGACCCACGTGGAGGGTCGTAAGAAAACGATGGTTGTTCACACGTGTGACATGTATGGGATGCTGTGGGATGACTTCAGAGGGTAAACCATCCATTTGTTATTAATACTGGGTTGGTGTTTTTTTTTAAGGAACATTGCCTGAACTTTGTGGTGAAGGAATCCCATTTTAATCAGGTAATAATGATGAAGGAGTTTGAGCATCTTTCTTCATCCCTCATAGTGGAGATTGTACGAAGAAAGCAGCAGCCTCCTGTTCGAACACATTCCGATCAGCCGCTTGACATCGGTAACCTTCCTGCTTTTTAACCTAATTACTGCTTTTTAACCTAATTACTTGTGCTGGTTTTGCATTGCTAATGGTTTGCTTAGTGTAGGAAACAGAGGAAAGAGGGGCTGGAGCTATGGCTTTGCCATCATTAGGGACTGTAGTGATAGGACAAGGGGTAATGGGTTAAAACTTAAACAGGGGAAGTTTAGATTGGATATAAGGAGGAAATTCTTTCCTGTGAGGGTGGTGAGGCACTGGAATAGGTTGCCCAGGGAGGTTGTGAATGCTCCATCCCTGGCAGTGTTCAAGGCCAGGTTGGAAGAGGCCTTGGGTGATATGGTTTAGAGTGAGGTGTCCCTGCCCATGGCAGGGGGGTTGGAACTGGATGATCTTAAGGTCCTTTCCAACCCTAATTATTCTGTGTATTAGTTTGATAGTACCTGGTCATCTGCAGATATCACATCCTCAACTATCTCATTACGGTAACTTTCAGGAACATCTTTAATTCAGGACATGAAGGCTTACCTGGAAGGAGCTGGGACTGAGTTCTGTGATATCATCCTCCTCTTGGATGGCCACCCACGGCCAGCACATAAAGCCATCCTGGCTGCCCGCTCCAGGTGAGGCTGTGTGAAGTGCAGTGCTGTGCAGTCTGTGGGGCAGCTGCCTCTTTTAGAAGACAGGGAGGAACTTTGTATCCACATAAAGCGTAAGAGGTGTCTTTGCTCAGTAAGTGTCATAAGCCTTTAAGCATCAGTGGTTAAATGGTTTGGTTTTTTTCAATTTGATACCCAGCAGGGAAGGATTGGAGGAAATTAAAACTGGAGAGGTTCTCTAGAGGATGTGTAAGAAGCTGCAGTGCAAGACAAAGAATCTCTGCAGTCACAGGAAAGGAAAGAGGTGGTTTCAGTGAAGGGAAAAGCACCAAATGTCCACTGAAGTCAGAAAGAGTCTTCTGATGGTGGACATCCATTTTGCATCACCTGAACTTTGAATCTCTTTCTCCCTTGCTGGTATTTAAGACTGGGTATGAATAAGCACAGCAAAAAATGGTGCATAACAGAGACTAGATTGTTCGTGTACTTTGTTGAGGAGGCAAGTTCACCCTTCTGATGGGGGGAACTCTTCTCCCTCCTCAGTATGGCAGTGAAGGGAATCTGTGCTTTGCTTGTGTGTTGTGTATACCCGCACCTTTATGTTCTGGCAAACATGAAGTGTTCACATAAAATTGCTGTTTCAAATACTGTCACAATTTTTGTCTAGTCCCAGAAAGAATATTCAGTATTAGTTGCCGTGGTATTTTACTAGAAGCATTTCACAGCTCTTAAAACACCCCTGCCTGATTAGGAGCCTGCAGATACCAAGGAAATTCATAATGCTTTAAGCTCTCTACTGGGTCTTATGCAAATCAGACAGAAATCAAAGCACCATGTGTCCTAATTTTCAAGAAACAGAGACAAATTTTGGGTAGTGCTGATGGAAATCAGGGGGATTATATTTGGAGTTCTCTCACAGGCAGACATATAAAACCAGTCATTTAGCAGTGGTTTTGCCCAGGTTATCACCTGAATGTGCTTCTTTGGAAGCTGCAGTGCTTAACAGCAGCCTCTGAACAATACTGGGTTAAACAATCTGTCTGCAGAATATGTACATCAGTTTTACTTCCTTTTCCAGTTACTTTGAAGCCATGTTCCGTTCCTTCATGCCAGAAGATGGGCAAGTGAACATTTCTATAGGTGAAATGGTTCCCAGCAAGCAAGCATTTGAATCGATGCTTCGATACATTTATTATGGAGAAGTAAACATGCCTCCTGAAGACTCCCTGTATCCTTATATCTAAAGGAACTGAAGTATCTGCCTAAAGTGCACATACAGCAGCTCACTTTCCTTTTGCTCTAGCTTGCCAGGCAGAGCCTGGGAAGATTGCAGCTCAGGGTTGCATTTTAACTTCTGCCATGGTTGCTTTACAGTTGTTTCCTTAATGAGATGAATAGCTACCTCTTTGCTGCACCTTACTATTATGGCTTCTCCAACAACAGACTGCAAGCCTATTGTAAGCAGAACCTAGAAATGAATGTCACGGTGGAGAATGTACTACAGGTAATTGTCCCCAAGCAGCTTTCATTAGTCACTTGACTTAGATACAGGGAAGGGTCTGGTCAACTGGGTACCCCTAAGGGGCAGGTTCACTGAGTCGCCTCCAAATTCACATCCACTGGGACTGCACAAACCCTTCTAATGCCAGTGGCCCTGCATGGCTGATGTGTTTAGGAGCACAGGCCTCAGTGGTTTTGTTCCCTTATCTGCTTTTTGTGTCACTAGTGCTCCTGTGCTGAAGTGTTTAGTAAATAGTGCTCAACTGGCCAACAGGATGTTCCTCACCCCCCCACTGTAGACCAGTGTTTCTAAGGGTCTTGTTAAGAGGTACCATGTGCACTGCACTCAACTCAAAACCCTTTTTTTGGTAGACGTTTGTACCAGCGCAAATGGTGATGTGCAGGTGACATTAATCTTGTTTTATCAGTAAATGCTAAGAGGATCTGGCAATGACTTTTAAGCTAACAAAGAATATTCTGTGATAAGAAGGCCTACAATGCCATCTACTAGGTAGGCAGGCCGAACCCTCTGCAACACAGAGAGCAGAATCAATTCCAGCATTAACTGCTTTTGGCTCTTGCCAGTCTCACTCAGGCACTTCAGGGAACCTGGCTCTGAAACAGATCTGCAGTTTCCTACTGATTATCTCCTGAGGCCTCAATGCATTTAAATCCAAGACATTAGTTTTCAATAGTACAGAAAACTGGAGATGTTTCCCCAGCTCAGAGGAATTGCCTCATCTGAGTCAGAGCAGTGTTTGTGCGCTGTACCTCTGAGCTATGCAGAAGGAAGTTCACATCATTGCTTTTGCTCTAGATTTTAGAGGCAGCTGACAAGACCCAGGCGCTGGACATGAAGAGGCACTGCCTGCACATCATTGTTCACCAGTTCACCAAGGTTGGTTGCATCTTTTCTGGGGCTTTTGAGAGCTGCTGTCCTCTGTCACTGCGTTGGTTAAAGACATGTTAATATAGGAATCCATTTCACTCTCTCTCATGTGAGACAGCTGAGAGCTGGCTGAGTGTTGCTGATACTCCCTGACAAGTCTGCTAGGCATAGTTTAAACACCAAAGCTAAATGAAAGACTGGAACAGCAGGGTCTGGAAATGTGAAGACCTTCCAGAACAGAAGTTACCCACAATTGCTTCCATTTCCACTTGTTCCAGCTGTTGATTTTGTGCCGTGCCACTGCTGGGTTCTCATGTGTATAGCAAGATAAGTTTGTGATATATTAAGGGCACAAATCCCTCTTTCAGTGGCTGTCATGAATGTACTGTTCATATTTCTCTTGAGTTATTCTCTGTCATAGATACTCCACTGTCGTGTGCCCAAAAGGCAAATTACCATGTCCTGGCCGGGCTTTCTGTAGTTTCCATGCTCTGATATGTGGGATGATGTGTTAGTGATAGGAAAAGTCAAGAGCCTGATGTGCTGATATTCCTGTCCTCACTTGAGAGAATAAGGGTATTATCATTTAGTTGTGAGATGTGATCCCTCCATGGGGGTTTCCCAGCGTGTCACCAGTTCATGGCACAGTGTATCAGCATTGTTGAAATCGGCTGATAAATCACAGGAACTGGGATTTCTGGATGCTATGCACTTACTGATAGTGATTCCCAAGTTAGTATTCAGGTAGCTTGCTCCCTTTTGTGTATTTAAACTCACAATCCACCGCCACTGCCCGTGGGGAAGGAAAGCACTGCTCAGTCCAGTCTGTAACTGAAGATCAGACATAGGGAGCTATTCAGGCTCTTTATTAATTAGTTGCCCAAGTGCAATGCATTTTACATCCAGAAATAGCTGAAAATGCATTAAAAGCTTTGAGAGTGGAGCCAGCATCCAGGAATCGCATTCCCAGCAGAGGGTCCCAGCATGAGGTTACAGCCCCTGCCTTCATCTGCTGGATTTTCTTCTGGCCTCGTGACTCCTGCAGAGTGGCCCAGGGGATGGAGAATGGTCCCACTGTGAGTCACAGGCTGTTGGGCCATCTCCTGGGGCTGCAGTCCCTGAGAGCTGAGATCTCATGGTCCCAGCTTCCTGTGGAGGCCCCAGGAAGACAAACAGGTTGGCACAAATCTCAGCAGAACGTGCTGGGGGGGAAGTGAACATTGCACCATCGCAGAGATGGGAGCTAAAGGGCGTTCCTCAATTGTGTTCCACTCACCAGAGTATGTGGAAATGTTTTCTATTTAAACTGTTGCCTGCTAGAACAGTTTTGCTCAGACTGTGGCTGGAAGCCTGTCAAGCAGATGTGCATGAAGAAACCTTCATTATGCAATGTTTTTCTTTGGCTTGAGAGGCTTCAGTGTGTGAGTTTTGGCCCTGTGCTGGCTGCCTCTGTGTGTGGCTGGGCTCCTTGGCAAGCTGCAGGCTCTGAAGGGGGATCTGTTCTAGCTGTGCCAGCCCGGCAGGTCATGGGGGCTTGGATAGGCCGGGTGGATGGCCCTTGGCCTCTCCTGTTCTTCCAGCTTGATTAACACTGTTCTCAATGCCGACTGTCAAGGAGTTTTCCCCCCAGTAAGAACGTTAATGCTGCTTTGGGCAACGTGGGTTTAGGCTCCTGTGTGTCAGTATTGTGCAAAATGCCCAATAAAACTGCTGTTCTAAAGTGTTTGTACTGACACCCTGATCTGTTCCTCCACAGTGCATGCCTCAGTGCTTCCCCCCCATGTTAAGGGGGTCCCTTTCCCTCCCAGTTATCATAGACCTTTACTTTGGGGATATTATTACTTCAAGCACATGTCCTGAGCTCTTTCTGAAAGCATCTCAGCCATTTTCTTCCTGGGCTTCAAAAGATGCTTAGGACATCTTTATCACAGTCAAGGTTAGAGTGAGGTGATCAGTGAGTACTGGTTGGGCAAGTAGTCAGGCTTTTAGGCAGAGTCTGCCTTCAAGGCTGGGCATGTTATGTTAATAAGTCTAGAAAGAGGGATTCCTGGCGCATTACTGTGAGGTTGTGGAGAAGGAAGGAATGTGTGGAGCTCCTTTTTGGTAACAGCTGAGCTTCTGAACAGTCTTCAGAGCATAAAGCTTGTTGTATATTCTTGTATATCTGACGCAGTGAAGGTTTTTGTTGGCTAGTCCTGCAGTGACCTGCCTTGACTGCACGAGGAAAGCCAGCACCACCAGCATGGACACTAAGCACAGCCTCTCCATAGGAGTAGACAGGGTGAAGAGATCAGGTCCTAAGTCACGTTCTCAGTAGAAACACACAGACTTCAAAGTTCACAGCTGTGCTGGTGCCCAGCTTTGCTTGCAGGAGTGCTTAGCTGGCATCCATTAGCAGGAGAGTTGTCACTATGAGCAGTAATTACCCTCCTTTCCCAGAGAGGCAGTGCTGGGGTCAGCAGTTCTGCTATTCTCCATCCCATGCCCTCCGTGCAGCAATCTGAAACTGGGTTCTAAGTGCAGGAAGTCATGACCGGAGCCCAGGACTGTGATTTCATGCCGTATGCACCCAAGCTCTGCCTGTTTCACATGGGGTGGCCAGGGTGAACTGATGCGACATCAGCTGCCGTTTGGGGAGGGCTTTAATTTCTTTCTGTTGTTTTTTGTTCTGTTTTTCTTTTCCTTGAAGGTCTCCAAGTTGCCAAATCTCCGCTCCCTGAGTCAGCTCCTTCTTCTTGACATCATAGAGTCATTAGCTAACCACATATCAGACAAGCAGTGCGCAGAGCTGGGCTCAGACATTTGACACGCTTTGGTAATCGAGCTTCTCCCTTGTTCCTCAAACAAACTAGCACTTTATGGCTGGCTCTCTCTTCTACCATTCCACACCGAGCTGCTCACAGTGGCTACACAGTACAGCAGGCTCCTGAGGAGCATGGACAGCTGACGTGCTCTCCTGTGGATTTGCTTGGTTTGTACCTTTGTGGCGAAGGGTTTGGTCTCTCTTACGCAAATGTCAAATTGAAACCATTGCAGGAATTAATTCATTCCATGTGGTTTGGGGAGTAACTAAGTTCAGAATCAAGCCCATTATTACTTTTGTACTGTAAAAGCAAGCAGTCGTGAGGAAGGCTGGCGTTAATACTTGGAAACACAGGATTTCAAGGATTTCAAGGCTATTTAAAGAACTTCAGCTGACACAGGGTGATTCGAAGAAAACTCCAGGAACAAACTTGCCAACGAAGTTTCCAAGCTGACAAGCAGGTATTCTTCATTGCAGAACTGGGAGACACAGGGAGAGCTCCTCCTAACGTGTCCCCCAGTTGCCACACAAGCCATCCTTATATAGTCCCTGGGCATACATACATATTCATGAGGCTACGGATGGATTACATCAGTTCCCTGCATGCGTACAGAATTGTGGTGGTGGTCTCTGAGGGTCCTTTACTTCTTCCAACGATCTTCATCACTTCTGGCAGCCTTTGAAGCACACGCAGTAGATGCTCATACCAGTTGAATTGGTTCGTTAGCACCAGACATAATAATCCTCCTATCCTCCTACTTATCAGTTAGTTTAACTGCAGCCCATCCTGGACACCTGTGGTTCCCAGATACTCCTTATCCCTGTGTCCTGTTCTTCTAGACTGTTCTTCTTAAAAGTATGTTAACTATAAGGATTTATCTTGTGAGAATTCTCAGTATGTTCTCTAGCTGTACTCTATTTTTTTTCTGTGTATCATGCACCTCAATAATTTTCCATTGCTACTGTTACAAAGCCATCAAACTTACCATTACTTAAAACTAATTCTATATTCCATTTTGTGATTTTATGCCCCTTTGTCTCAAGGGGAAGTCACATAAAACTGGAAGCAGAGCGTGGTGCTCGCAGTGAGGCTGTGACTGTTGGAGCAGGATGGAGGGACCTGTCAGGGACTCTCCATGGTGTGGATTAAAAGATAAACCCTTTTGCAGCTGCCTCCACTGGTGGGCTGCCGGAGGGCCAGGCCTAGCTCACACTAGAAGATTACAGTGGTCCATCCTGCCCACCAAATCCATTAATCCTGTCTCGCTAAACCTTTCTAAATCAATTTATTAATAAAGAGTTAACATCTTCCCCTGGCATTTTGTGATTGACTTGGCTTTCATTTTGGAAAAAAACCAAGCAAAAAGAGCTCTGAGCTTGATGAAGGTCACTTTGTTAAAAATAACTGCGTTACATCTCGTCACTGATTTCACGCTGAAGTGTCTTCATTAGTCGATGCCTTTGCAGGAAGGTGAATGAAGGCAGAGCCCTTCCCAGCCAGTTCAGCAGCTCCCTGTGTGCTGGATGCTTCCCGTGCCACAGAAAGGAGAGGAGCTTTACTCCTTTACTTTACACATTGGATCAGTGATGGCGTGGCAGGAACCCAGCAGGGACCAGCCTCCAGCTGCTCCAGCCCTGAAGATGTCAGCACCAGACCCATCCCTCCTATACCAGCACCAGGAGAAGCCACCAGCCTCCTGGAGCAGCCTGTGCATCCCTGACCAGAGCTGGCAGGATCCCCATGTGGGGTGAGAGCCTGGCTCCTGGGCAGGAGGAGCAGGAGTCCCGCTGAGGCTCACTGGGAACGGGAACAGAGGAAGAAGAACAGATTTTAATGAGGAAACGTGCAGTGAAGGAGGCAGCAGCGAGGTCCTGCCAAGGAGTGCCCTGGCTGCACTAGGCCTCGGCCACCTCCAAGCCCAGGATCTTCTTGACGTAGTTCTGGACGTTGACATGGAGCTGGGGAGCCGTAGCAGAGAAGGTCTCCATGGCCAGGGCCCGGGCTGCCTCCGACCCAGCCCACATGGCACGGTAGAGGGGCAGGGTGTACTTCTGCTTCCCCTGCGGAGACAGAGCAAGGGTCACAGCCCAACCTCCTCCCTGGCTCCAGCGGGGTGAAGCCCCTGGAGCCCCACATCTCCCCTCCCAGGGCACAGCACCCCCAGCAGCGCCTGCTCTTGACCAGAGAGAGAACACAGAGGAATGGGTACCCCCCATGTGCTGGGGGTTGGAACTGGATGAGCTTTAAGGTCCTTTAACACAAACCAATCTGTTGCTCTATCAATAGCAAGAGCCAACCCCCGGCCATCTGGCACTGAAGGTCCTGTGCCCAGTGCCCGTCTCTGCCCCAGTGCACGCTGCCGGGCACAGCCACCACTGCCCAGGGACAAACCTGGCTCTGGAGGAAGTCCTTGACCTTGCTGTACTCAGCCTCAAGGTCGTTCCTGAGGATTATCTGGCACCAGCGGAGTCGCAGCTCGGCATTCTGGGACCTGGAGATCTTTGGGTACATCTTGCTCAGCCTTTCCACATTGCCTGCAAGAAGGGGATGCTCACCATTCACATAGCAGCTTTTGCCTTGCTCCTACTGCGAGGAGACCCAGCGAGCCCATCCCGGCTGTGCTGCAAACCCTCTGGGATGTCCCTGTACATCTCAGGGACATGCTTCCCTGGCTTTCCTTTCCCTAACCCTGGACACCAGGAACCACACTGCTGGACTGTCGTGGAGACAGCCACACACGTGGTCTCACATCCCTGGCCACCTGGCCATGTCACCCCGTGTCCCCTCTGGGCAGCAGAGCCCCGGGGGATGCGCTGGCCCTCACCTTGTGGCAGGGGGGATTTCTGCAGGACCTGGTCCAGGAAGTAGACCAGCTGGTACGTCCTCCAGGCCGTGATGTCCACGCCTTCAATCGCCTCCATGTCCAAGCCATCGGCTGCCCAGAGCAACGCCAGCTCCTCTGCCGGCTTCATCAGCGCATCCCCAGGTGAGAGGTCGGGCAGGAAGGGGGGCCAGCCCGGCGTGTCCAACCAGCGGCTGAACTCGAAGCCTGCAGGGAAGCAGGGAGGGAGAGCTGAGCCCAAGCTGCCTCCTCTGAGGGCATCCCCAGCACCAGCAAACCTGCCCGGGGACAGGAAAAGGCCAGGACAAGGCAGTTGTCTCCAGTGAGATACACAAACCAACATGCACACGGTCTGAGGGACACGCAGTGCCTCTGACACCCATGGGTGTTGGTTTGCAAAGCAGAGCCCAGTCCCCTGGCCAGGAAGGCACTGACCTGGGATGGAGTCCACGCCTTTCTCCTTCAGCTCCGGGAAGTACTCAAGGAAGAAACCGAGGGCATCGTCTGCTGTGATGCTCTGGAACTTGAACCGGTTCACGTAGGCCTGTGGGATGGCCAGGGCATGATGCTGCATGCGCTCGTCCCAGCAGTGCTGCTCCATCTCATGGGGGTTTAGCCTTGCTGAGCCCACGCCAGCCCCTGTACCCCCCAGGACACCTCTGGGCATTGCCACCAGCTACCATGGGCATGGAGCCAAGCTCTGCCCTCACCTCAACCCCCCATGAACATCTCTCATCTCCTCTTCCTCTCCCCAGCAGTCCCGTCCAGCCCATCCTTCCCACAGTCTCACTGCTCGCACTAAAGGGTTTCATGTGACTTGGCACCTCCTTGTACCGACCTGCAGGAAGGCATCAAACTTGCTCTGGTCCCCCACCAGATGCGCCAGGTAGCTCACGAAGCAGAACCCCTTCTCATAGGGTGTTTCGTTGTATGTGTCCTCAGGATTGATACCTAGAGCAAGGGAAAGCCCTCAGGAATCTACATAGGAAACAACCCTCAGGTGCTGAGATTTCTGCTTCCTGCACTGCCATCATATCCCTCCTGGAGCCATCGCCCCCCTTGGGCCCCAGCACTGGCTGTACTGCAGGCAGGAAGCCCCATAGCAGCAGGGCTACCCCTGGCCCCACACCTCGCTCCCACAGACCTGGCTCAATGACCACCCGCAGCTTGTTGAGCGGATGGTCCTCCCCGGTGTTGTCCATGTGCTGGCGCAGGAGGGCCCTTCCCGTCGCCGCCTCCAGGCACGTGTACGCCAAACCTGGGCAGGGACAAGAGGCAGGCGTTTGGAGACCCCAACCAGAGCCCTGTGGGCTGCGAGCCCAATGGGAGGGAAACGGTGCCAGCGCACGAGCTGGGAGAGGAGGAGAAGGACGGGGCCGTGGTGAGGCCACGCACCATAGACCTCGGTGGAAATGCGCCTCTGGGCGTACATTGTGAAGCCCTCGTTGAGCCAAAACTCGCCCCAGGAGGCGTTGGTGACCAGGTTGCCAAACCAGCTGTGGGAGATCTCGTGGATGATGACATCGGCCAGGGAGCGGTCCCCGGCCAGCAGGCACGGCGTCACGAAGGTGAGGCACGGGTTCTCCATCCCACCGAACGGGAAGGAGGGCGGCATGAACAGGATGTCGTACCTGCCGGGAGGGGGAACGGACTGGTCAGACCCACCTCTTCCTGCGGATGCAATGGGATGATGGAGCGATGCTCCGGGAACAAGGTCCTTTGGGGGCAAAGCCATACCTGCCCCAAACGTAAGGTCCAAAGAGCTTCTCTCCAACCGCCAGGAACTCCTCGATCACCCCATCATACTCCTTCTTCGCAGCCTCGATCAGGCAGGGCTCGGCCCAGACACGGCTCCTGGCCAAGTGTGTAGAGAAGAACTCATAACCATTGGTGGACTTTCACCCTATTGCTTCCTCAGCCAAAGCCCACATGTGTTTGTTCCACAGCAAAGTAACAGCTGATAAAGGAAGCTCATGAGACTGATTGATAGTGCAGCCTGCTCTGATTTCTTTCCTTGTCTGAAAGTCAAAGGGCTTTTATATAGTGGCTGTGACAGCTGGAACCTGAACAAACCCCTGGCCCTGGAGAGATGTGGGGCCTCTGAATGGGGATGGCTCTCACCACCATGCACAGGGTTGAAACAGAGCCAGGGATCCCCTGGGAGCTGAGGGGACCGGCACCGAGAGCAAGGAGCATCCCCCCCCATCAGAGCTGGGCTCTGGGGATGCAGCATTG